GGGGACTTGGAGAAATAACTTTGGGATTGATTAGATCTTGCTAATAATTGATATGTTTTTTAGAGTTTTTACATATTGTGATATTAGAGGAATATTAATTTGTTGCAAAATGACCCAGCAGGAGACAATAAAGTTTTATGAAGGAATGTTAGACATAGCATAAAGAACTATAAGAAGTTGATGGGAATATTTAAAGATAAAGATGTGAAAGTAGAGGGCACTCAACAAATGGTGGGAAAAGATGAATATGATGCACAGAAGACAGCTGAGAAGTTAGAAGGAGTGGTGGAAAGGACAATGCAAAATAAACAAAAAGATAGAAATAAATTAAAAGCAGAGAAAAATACTGAAAAGACAGCAATGACAAATACTAAAAGTCAAATAGACAATCCCTTAAGAGCTTATCATAGAATAGAGCGGGGGAAGAGGGAGCTCACAAAAACAAAGAAAGGATTATGGCTGGATATTCAAAAGACGCAGCAGAAGGAGTTAAAGCATAAGACAAAGGAAATAATCAGTTTGTGTAAAAATGTTAAAAAGACATAAGATTTCAAGAGAGAAATATAAACAAATCCCCCCCCCCCAAATCAGTAAATGATGAATTCTAGAAAGTCTGAGAGATGATGGAGAGAGAAACAATATTTTGTAAGGTAGTAACAATATTGAAAAATAATAGAAATAAGTAGAAAGTTTAAATTGGGAAAATAATAGCACACACATATATAATAGAATTTATTATAAATACACTTATATTAAGATTAGGAAATGGAAGACAAGGACTAAGTATATTTTAAACTATTATTATGATTAACAGGATGGAAAAATATATTGGGAAATATAGCCCATAAAGACTATAAATCCAGGGGACTTAGATATATAAATTTGGGACTGATTAGATCTTACTGATAATTGGTTTTAATTCATTTATAGAAAGTTGAGAGTGACATATATAATATCAAAATGTTAGGAGTTAATAAGTATATAAAAGAATATATTACAATTATAATGAGCACATTAAGGTTGGGAGTTAGAAGATAAAAATTTTGTGTAAGTAATTGTACTATTACTGTGAACACTCTGTGGAAAATATGTTAACCCAGTCAAACACACCATAATAATTCATTTAAAAAATCTGATATTAAAAAAGAAGATTGTATCTGAATTTAAAAGCTAATAAAGAAAGTGAACTCACCCAGGGAGTAGATTTCATAAAACCTCAAATATACATGACACAGTAACCTAATGAAGACTCTGAACATGCTCAGGCACCAGATGGCAAACTACCTGTGGGCTGCTGGGGGTTCGCAGAGGTTCGGGAGAACCTCTAGCTAAGATTCTGTGCAGTTCAGAAAACCCCCAAATCCCACTCCTGGCTGACCCCGCCCACCCCTCCCACGAGTCCCCAATGGCCCATTTTGGATGCAAGTAAGTGCAGGGTGTGCGTGGAGGCTCAGGGAGGGAGAAAAATGGGCCTACTGGAAGTTCAGGAAGGCTGGAAACAAGCCTGTTTCTGGCCTCCAGAGGGCCTCCAGAGCCTGGGGAGGCCATTTTTCACCCTCCTAGAGACTCAAAGAAAGCCTCAGGAGCCCGGGAGGACAAAAACATCCCTCCTCCATGGTGCAGGAGGCTGACTAGGCCATGCCTACCATGGCCACACCCATCCAGCAGCCGGGCAGAGAACTACTTGCAATTTTTGAAGCACACCCCTGCCTATATCTATGTTCTTCAAGTCAATGATGGGGGAAAGAAATCATGTGAATGCAAGAATAATTTTCCAACAAACAGGAATTCTCTATTCAAGAACGTCCAATATGCTAAGGTGGTCAGAATTAGACCAACAAAATTCTAAGAAATCAGCAAGAGATAAACTCTAGAATCAGATGCAATCAGATGCAAATACCAAGGCACATACCAACTATGTAGAGGATCAGCAACTACAACTAGATATAATTTGGGTTGTACATTCAGCTGAACAACTGAGGTGCTTCGTTTCATGGAAATATCCAATAAATGCAGCATCATTTTGTCAGCTCCTGAGCACACAGTGTTCCAGAAAAAAAAATTTTTTAAAGGAGCTGGCAACACACTTTCAGTAGAAAACTCTCTATGCAGCATATGTTATGTTGGATTATGCATGAAAAAAATTTGAATGTTTTAGCAGAAAAATTATGATATTGTCTACCATAATTAAATGTGTTAATTACAAAAATAATGAATGTTATTTTTATAACAGCAATTACAAAATACAATGCACCAACATTTTTTGATAAAAAATAATCTTGTCCTACATTGCTCCCCAGATAATACAATGCATTTGCTCTGGAGTTTATTTGTTTATTTATTTATCCAACTTCTATAGTTGCCCATCTCAGCCAAATGACTCTGGGCAGCTTACAATTCTTATTTTTAAACCACTCTCCCAACCATCCAGTTTTTAGGAGATCTGCGAATTTGCAAGGTGTTTTTTTTAATTGGTGCATATGGTTAATTTAATATTTATTTGTTTGTTTGTTTTGTTTGTCTCACACAAGACTAAAAGCAATAAAGTCATATAGACCCATATATCTAATGAGGGGGGAATACAAATTTCAAATTATAACTAAAATTTGGGGAGGGAAGGTTACAAATCAAAGAAATGAAGTCCACGCACACACATTCAAATGATTCCCACTGTATTAGCATTTTGAGAAGCCCTAAAGACTAGGCTCTTTACCCATGCCACTAGCAATACAACCAATGCCATTTTCTTCCTTTTTGTTTCCCTCCAAGTTTTCTTTGCCATCATTTTTTGGTGCTGTTTTTGTGGGGTTTTAAAAATAATTTCCTCATCCTTAACTTTTTTTAATCAATTGTAAACTGAAGAGCCCCTCCGGGTTACCTAAGGATCGGGAACCTCTGGCTTCCAAACCAGAAAATTTGGTCAGCCCAGCTAATAATGGAGTGTGAAGGGTGTACATGTGTAGTTAATATAACACGTGAATCATGGCTTTCAAGGCAAAATGCCTACTGAGGCTAGACTTCCGGAGGCCAAACCCCCACCGTAGGGAGGAGGAACCGACCAGGTGGTTCCGCCCCAAGCGACTGATGGACCCTGTTAGGTTCCAGACGGAGCTTGGGGTTATTCCAGATTCGCTCGCCCACAGTTCGGTGGAGACCCTTGTCGCTGCCTGGCACTCGGCAGCTTCGGGGTCTCTAAACCGGATTGCGCCACTACGGCCCCTCCGGGTCAGCGGCCCCCGGAAGCCTCCTTGGTTTACCGAGGAACTCCGGGAGATAAAGCGCCGGAGGAGACGCCTAGAGCACCTGTGGAGATCAGACAGGTCCGAATTGAACCGGGCACATGTAACAGCATGCACCAAGGAGTATACCCGTGCTTTAAGATCAGCAAAAAGAACACACATTGCCTCCTTGGTAGCGTCCGCCGAGTCCCGCCCAGCCGCCCTGTTAAGAAAACCCCGCCCCCTCCAAAAAAGGAGGGAGGCGGGGGACCCCTTACAGGGTAAGGCTGAGGAGTATGTTCAGTTCTTGGCGGACAAAGTTGCCCGGTTTCGAGC